CAGAGTGAACTAAGACCCAGCTCGTCCTCTGAATTAGGAAGAGCTAGAAGGGTGATGACTTGTGCTCTGAACGGATGTCTTGGTTTGAGGGCAACTTTACATTTGTTTGTGCAGCTACACGAACATGAACAAAGCAGGCTTCAGTGTTCAGAGTAAACAGGAGTGCCCTCATAGCGTTTCACGCAACGCGAGAGACGAAAGGGAAGCAGAGAGTTCCTATATTTAACCAGGTGTTTGATTGACAGGTGTGGATGCCGCAGGTGAGGAGTGAGTCGTATCTGCTGGTGTGTGCCGAGGGGACTGAACTGCAGCTGTGGGAGCGACACTGCAGCGCTGATCTGTCCTGAAGAACAGACACTAGATAGTCTACAGCAGCATGGACTGTGATCTGTTCTTCTCTATTCTTCAGTTCCAGCCTATAACACATTTTCAGCGTCACAGCCACATGATTCAGTGAATGGGGCATTTAAATCTGCACCATATTCTGGTTGCGCTCATATTCTGAATATGATGTTTATATGCTTAAATACGGTAGTTTTAGGTCTGCTGATCTACACATGCACATTTAATTTTTTGCAATTGTCTAAAAGATTTCCTAAGAGAGTCTTAGGAAGTATGTGCATCAGAAATGAGTTTCCAATTCTTAATACCTACAGCTAAAGCATGTAATCGCTCATAATTCTTCGTGGTCTGAGCATGTGAATCTCCTTTCAGTGGATTTTCTGAATAAGGTGTTTACATGCAAACACGTTTCTCATTAAAACAGGTTTATTCAAGGAGTGGGAAACAGATTTTTGAGAATTAAAATATTGTCTTAAACTGAATCAGGCAATCAGAGTGTGGTGTTTAATATGTGACTCCATACTAATCTGAATATTGACAAAATCTGATTATTAACGGAATATTCACGTGCATGGCTGGAAATGAAAAAAAATTTTTTTTTTGGAAAAAACATATTTTGTACAAAACAAGAAGATGTTTTAAACGTTAAAAACTATTTAAGAGTTAGTAACTTCGAAATAAAGTTGTCTTATTTATTTAACACAGAGTGAGTTATTTTTCTTTTTCTTGGAAAGATGTGTCCGTTAGTTAAACGCGTGTTTGCGTCGCGGTTTAAATGGCTTAATATAGCTTCTGACCATTTTAAAATAATAAAAACATTTTTAGTTTCTCACCCTGCTGAAAAATCCAGTTGAAACCAGCCTAAACTGTTTTGCTGGTCTAAGCCTGCAAAGTGTTTTTCCAGATCTCGCTAACATCTGAGGATATTTTTCAGACGTTTTGTCTCCATAACTAGTTTTGGATTACTTGGTCTAGGTCATGGGTTTGATTTCAAGAAACACACATATTGATAAACATACTTTGATTACTTTGTAAATTGCAAACAGTAATGCTCAGCCTAATCAATAAGCTGCTGAAAAGTGCCCAAAATAGCCTTTAAAACCAGCTAAAGATCAGATAAGAGCTGCAGTTTAAAGTGTTTTTCTCTTCTTCAGCAAAGTAAGTAGTGATAAACACAGGTGTACTGACTTTGCTATGGGCGGAATGTGGCTTTTGTCATCTAAAATGAGTGGGCGTGGCTTCTGTAGTCAGTATGGAGTGGGTGTGTTTTTTGTCTTCTATATTGAGTGGGTGTGGTTTCTGTCCTCTAAATTGAGTGGGCGTGTTTTTTGTCTTCTAAATTGAGTGGGTGTGGCTTC